CCCCGCCCGGGAGCAGCCGGACCCCCCCGACCGCATCCCCGGTCCTTCTTCACATCCCCGGCACTACCAGCCCGGATCCCCCGGTACTGCCCCCCTGCATCACCCGCTCCCCCAGTTCCCGGCACCCCCCCCTCCCCAGCGCTACCCCTGGACCCGGTTCCCGAGGGGGGCTGTTCGGGCCGGGGGCTTCGACCCGCCAGGGAGGCACCAACCACGCAGGGCTCACCACGGGCAGCGACCAGCCCGGTCCTGGTACCCAAAACTCCCCTCACGGTGGTAACCCCCAGCCACAGGGAGAATCCCTCCCCATAGCGGTACCCAAAACCCCCAGCCACAGGGAGCCTCCAGTCCCAGAGTGCATCCTTCCTCATTGCAGTATCTGAACCCCCAGTCACAGGGCACATCCCTCCCCATAGGGTACACAAACACCCCTGGATGCAGGGCACATCCCTCCCCATAGCGGTACCCAAACCCCCTGCTTGCAGGGCACATCCCTTCCATATTAATCGAGAGCATCATTTAAGTCACCTCTCCAAGTGGTCTCAGCAGGGGCACGCTGTGGCTGTCAATGGCTTTGGGGCACGGGAATCTCTTGCTTTTCATCAGGGCTTTTCTCACTCTGTCTTTGCAGATCAGGGACACACCAAGGGGAGGGCAGGATCACTGCTCAGGCGTGGGGCAGGCTGGAGACAGATGCTGATTCACATGTGGAACGAGTTCTCCAGAGACAAGGGGTGTTTTCGCACTTTCTGTGCTAGAACAAAATTGTTAGACTGGATTCACCCACATCACACCCGTGATCCCCTCACCCTGTGCCTGTGGGGCACAGAAATGAGCCTGGCCACAGAGCCCCACAGCTCCCAGCATCTTGGGACCAGCCACCCGCTTTGCTGGAGATGCCTGAAGTCCCAGTGCAAAAAAGGGTGCGTTCAGGTAAACTGAAACTTTGTGGTTTGTGTTGGTTAAAGCTAAAAATCCCAGGAGTGCATCATATGCCCCAGAAGATTCTTATTAAATTACACTTTATGAGCTAAAAACTAATGCTCTTCCTGTGCAGAGTGTGTTATTTTTCACTTGTATCACTTTATCTAATCTCAAAGGTTTCTTTTTTCTGGCAAGATCTTGGTTGCAGAAGAGAAAGGAAGAGTTTGGAGCAGCCCAGAGATGATGGTCTTTCCCAGCGTTGTCACACAAACGTGGAATGGATCCCTACACTTTGTCCTTGCCACTCAGGGCTAGGACAGGGTTGGGGACAATGAGGAGCCAGGGTGACAAACATCCCAGCTCCAAGCTCCTGTCCCCAGCCCCGGCTGCAGTGATGCTCTAATATGGCAAAGATGGCAAAGTTGGGAGAAGATATTTCTAACAATAAATCCAGGTCAGTGATACAGAGAGCAATGTCAAGGAATTTAAATCCCACAAGAAACAACTTTTAATTTAAGGCAAATCTGGGGCTCTGCACGCTCCAAGTGCTGCTGTTCCTCAGCATAGCCAAGATCAGAGGGATTGTCCTGGCCATGGTGGCCCTGTTTTGGGGGGACCGAGCTCCTTGGTGGAAAGGGCCATGGCAGCACCCACAGCTGATGTTTGTGCACCTTGGGGATGCTCGAAAAGAGCCAAGGACATCCCCCTGCTTCACCTCTTCCACTTGTCAGCTGCCTCCTAATGGGACAAACAGTTCCCAGCCTCATTCATCCCCATATCCTCACCCTGGGGCTGGTGGGACTGGTTTCAATATCCCCCTCGCTCCCCTGGCTCCTCGCAGGAGGGTAGTAGTAGTCACCTTGGGCATGACCAGAGAAAGGCACTTTAGTTTACAAAATGAAACAGAAAGTTTCATCACTCCTTCATTTGGGTTTGGTTAGAAACAAGACAGTTCTTGCTCCTGTTTGCCCTGACATCATTAGTCTTCAGAGTTAACAGCCAGCCTGTGGGTACAGCCAGCCCCTGCCTCTTGCAAGCACTTGGATGCTCTAGTCCCAGAGTTAGAGCTGGGTGAATCTTTCTGATGTGGGAAACCGGCAATAGGTGCAGCCAGACATCACCGCAAAGCTGGGCTTAATGATTTCTTTCCATTGCATGGAAATGTTTCACTTAAACCCTCCCTTTCTCCAGCTCCCAAGAAGTGGCATCGGGTTTGTTTTGTGGCAGGTTTTGGAAGAAATGCGATCCATGTTTTCTGTTTGCTGTTGTGCAAGGCAGAGGGGTGCAGGTCGGGGCAGGCGGCGTGTGGCGGCCGGGGTGCCAGGGGGAAGCAGGCACGTGCGTCCCAGCTGGGACACCCCCAGGCACCTCGCTGATGGCTGGAAAGGCTTCTGCTTTCCTGGAAACCATTACAAACATCACAGGACAAACAAACAAACAAAGAGCCCAAAATAGAAGAGTTCCAATAGGAAGACTGCGAAAGAGAAATCCTGTTTATACAGGTATTTGTGGAAAAGCACCAGGAGGAAAACAAAGAATAAAGGGAATCAACCAATGGGTCCGGAGGTGGCTTGGACAGGGGAGACTTGCTTGGGTTTGGGGACAGATTAAAACCAAGATAAACTGCTGGGTGCTGTGCTGGGGGTGGTAGATCTGACCTGAGCAGGAGGAACACCCGTCCCCATCCGTTGGGACAGTTTTGGGGTCAGAGCCAGCCCGTATGGGACCCACCATCTCTGCCCCCTGCTCCTGGGGGAGACTGGCTCAGTGCCGGTGCTCTGGGCAACAAGCAGCAAGCGAGGGCTGCGAGCACATTAGCCACGCTTGGATTTAATCAACCACAAGGACAAAAATAATAATCCACAAAAATCTGAGGCTGCAGGGGTGGCTCTGTATATACGGGGGTAGGGGGAAAGAAAGCCCATCTCTGCCTCCAAAAGTCCTCCAGCCTCAGTAGGGGAACGGAGCAGCCCAGAGTGGGGAGGAAGAAGCCCAGCCTCAGCCGCGGGGCCGGAGCTGAATGGGGAATACGAGCCAGATGTGTCTGCTTTCATCCAGCTGTGTGTCTCCAGGACCCCTCTTGCAAGACTAGGGGCTTGAAAGCATTTTCAGGCCTTCCCCACACCCCTCCAGTGCAGAGCTGGGGCGATACTGCTGCACAAAGGCCTTCATCCCCCCGGCTCAGGATGCTGCCCGACGGCACCAGTGCCAGGGGTGTCCAAGCAGGACACGGGGCAGGACCACGTCACCATGGTGGCTCATCTCCAACACAGCACGGTGAGCAGAGAGCTGCCTGCACACTGCTGCCAGCTGAGAACACTCACCATTCGCTGCATGCAACAACTCCTCCTTGGCAGCAAATCCTGAGTGGTGGCACTCAGTGGCATCACAGGGTAACAGGCAGGGAGGCCACGGGTCCCCTCTGGCTCCAGCTGTGCCACCCACCTCAGGGCAGGGCAGCTCTGGTACCACTCTGCTGGCAAAGCATCTCCTGGCCTGGTCTAGTCCCAGGGAGGAGGGTGAGCTCTCAAACATACCTAAACACCCTTAAATATTCTTTAACCAGCCTTAAACATGCAGATGCAAACTGGGGTGATGGTCACATCCCCATCACATCCCCACCTGGAACCCTGAGCTGGTGGCTTGTGCTCAGGATATGCTCAGCATTGGCTTCCACCTGGCAGGTTCCTGCATGAAGGGGCTGACGCCCCTGGCTCCTGCTTGCTTGGGCCTTGGGAGCAGGTCCTTCATCATCATCATCATCAGGCAGAGCTGTGGGCAGGCACCCTCCAGCCATCTCCAGGTGTCTCTTAGGGACTAGGTAGCCGCTGGGGCCAGGGCTAACTCACCCTTAATCAGCCTCTCCTCCATTAGCCCTTCCTGGCCAGTTCCCAGAAAGGCTGGGCAACCTTGGAGATGCTCTAAACTCCCCAGGATAAGGCCCTGAGCAACCTAAGCGAGGCTCTGCCCTGCAATGGGCATTGAGTATATGTAATTTCCATCACGTCCTCTCCCTAAGCATGGAGAGACACAATGCTGATGTGTGTGTCGGGACTAACCTCTTCCAGCTGCCATGGGCTGCAACGTTACTATGATTGTATTTGTTGAGCTTGGGAACCACATAAAATCAGTTACTGGCCTCTCCTAAAATTAAAAAAAAAAAAAACAAACACCACCCAAGAAATGCTGAGAAGGAGAAGTGAGAACCCTTGCAAAGCCCCAGGAGGAACATTGAGCTGTAGCATCTCCTGTGGCCATGCCATGTCTCCCT